GACTATCTGCAAAATCTCCAGATTGTCAAAGGGCCACCACATGACCTCCCCACACAAACAGAGCCAGAAAAAAACACACACACATAGCAAAGACAAACGGACGTTACAATTCGCATTTTCTTTAACGGTAAAAGTTTGAAACTCAGCAAAAGAACAAATCAACGTGATAGACTGCAGTCTATATCAGTGGTTTTATCATTGTTACTTATTTTATTTCACCCTCATTCAACTCATACATTATTTTGTATGGTATCTTTCTATCCATGTAACTTCACCAAATTAACCAAAATACATGAGCCCCTGCCATCGCGAAAACGTAAGTCCAAACTAAGCTATCCCTCCAAACATCAAAATATAACTCAAAATAAAACACCGATCCCTGGAGACACAAACTTATAACAAAGCTTGGCAAACCCTCGAAATAATGATGTAACGAGGGGCATTACGAATATTGATTAAACATTAACCAAATAATAACCCCGATATATTAGACCGGGGGTAACTCATAAGAGATACAAGAAATAGGTCCAACACACACAAGACCAGATACATGTATTCCATGGAATCAAAGCCTCCCCGGCCACATTTGTCTTCCAACAATTTGACACAAACACATGGCAGCCATAAATACGTACGAAGGGTGTCTGGCCTCGAGATAACAAACACTACGAAGAAAGGGGGGGAAATGCAAACAAGCATAAACTTTGACGCTAAAACAGCCCGTCCGGGGTCATCAAGGGAAGAGGGGAGGGGGGGAGTCAGGGCGGCCACGGAGAGAGGACGGTGAAGGAGGGCATTTGTTTTTGTTTTCTCTCGCGGGGGACGCGCAAAGAGGGGAGGGAATTTTTTTTTAAGCACGAACATGATTCACAAATAGTTCAGTCTTGCCAGGCAGTCTTGCGAGGCAGTCTGGCGATGGAGGCTTGTGAGGGAGTCTTGCGAGGGGCAGGCTCCGGGGCATGGCCTTGAGATCAGCCATGGGTGTCGTGTCTCGCAGAGAGAAGGGACGATGTCTTGATTAAAAGCTGAGTTCGGCATGAGCCGACAGAGTATCGCTGAAAGTTTTATTCTACATTCATCCTGATGTGTTGAGTCGCTCGCAAAGTCAAGGATTGCGATAAGTTGGATTGCACTAAGCTTTCACAGTCGTCTAAGAGGTGTGCGAATACAATTACAAGTTTTGAGAGTGAATGCCAGCAGCTGCAGCTGGAGTTGAACGGACGAGCAACGACGAGCAATCAACTGGGAGAAAGGGCGGAAAGCGCCAAGCATCGACCAAGCGAGCATCGCACAGGACCAGCAACAGAGGACACGCTGCAAGAGCAATCGTGCATCGCCAAAGAGCACGGAGCAGTAGAAAAAGCTTGAGTCAGCGCAGTCCTGAAGTAAGGGCGGGTGTCCGTGTGAAGCTGGCAGCTGCACGATCAAGGAGAGAGCACGGAGCAGTGGAAAGAGCCCGACCAGCCGCCCATGAGCAAGAGTGTCAGCGCCAGCGAGAGCGCCGTGTGTTCGACCACACACACTGACCAGCTCCAGCTGGGAACCAAGACATCCAGCAGCGGACAAGCAACATTGCTGCTGCTGCCTCAAAGAGAATGAGCAAGAGTGAGGAACGGCGGCCCAGCGGACGAGCTGTTGCACGCTATGCCGATGCAGCTCATCCAGCAGCGGAGAGAGCCGGCAGCTAACAGCAAACCAGCCCGGGCGAGAGAGCTGGAGAGAGCAACCAACTGTTTCTATGCCCCTCCCCCACCCTCACAAGCTCACTATGCAGCGCCCGGCGTCTGCTTAATACAAATAATTTATCAAGGGACAATCCACACACACACATGAACCAAACCTGAGCCAATAATAAAAGACTCATTATAAGTGTGCATGAACCATTAGCTGATCGTGAAGACATTGGTGTTCATCGAGTGATATGAATACTGTCGTTTATAAGTACATTAGCCGTTATTTTTCTTTTTAATTGTATCAAAATTACCAATAGATTAATCGATGTAAACTAAACGTTTGAAACCTTTTTTTACGAATCTACACGCTCACCGGGAGAATATTGTGTTAAACCATTCTTTTGAACACCGAATCTTGCCCACGAATTAATTGAAGCTTTCGCTCAAAATAAGCATCTGGCGTAAACAGACCTACACTGCCGCACACCATTGCCCCAAGACATTTAGTTAATTATATGATCTTCCCGATGAATCTATTGATGTATACTTTTGCCTTCGGGATATACTGATAATCTTTTTATTGCCTTTCGTATGAATATCGTCGCATGCAAGTTCAGGACTTTTCCCTATTGCCGTATATGCTCGCGTTACTCGGTGGAATTAATCAATTGTTCGGTTGCCCAGTTTAACAACGTAATCATTGATGGTTAAAGGTACGGATCAGTGAGGGGAACTTCGCCGGTGGTACTGTGGATAATTCCAAGCATGAGAGTTCGAATATTAGACTGTTATGTTTTTGTTTAGAATTAAAATTGCTTAAAGAGTCTGAGTGGTTTCTTCCTGAGTTCATGCATAATAATCTTATTTATAAAAACTGTATCCTGCGTTGAGATTTGAATTCGAAGACCTGACATAAACACTCTAAGACATAATCAGTGAATGTTAAAACGAGAATAATTGTATTATCCCGATTGATAATAGAACCCTATACAACGAAGCCGAGCTTAATTTTGCATAATTACATAACACTTGGATAACTTCATACAACTTATGGTATCATCCCGATTGATAATACGACCCGAGACAACGAAGCTAAGCCTAATTATCATAACAGCCCACATCAGCATAATCACATACATTCGCATACAGTGATAAGATTATCTCCATAATTAGCATATTGTATGCACATAATAAAACAAATTATCATAATTTCTAATACTTACGCATTTTTCAAATCTTCATATAATTTTTATTATTTTCTATTAATTTTTCATTTCAGCTCCCATCGATGCAAAAGCTCCAGCAGAATTTCAGTCTCTGATATGATCTCAGTAATTTCGTGCTTCTGGTGTTACTTCTGTCAATAGCCTTTTTTAATAGTGCATGTGCTTCTGTTAAAGGTGCCAGACAAAAACGTTCCCATCACGACAGCACTTTGTCTATTTCATTGATGCATTTAGTTCAACGGACCAATATTTTGCTTTACAAAATTTTCATTCAATTGTTGTATTAACAATATTACGTTCATCGACTTCTACATATATTTCTTGGTTGTTGGCATTGGGCAATTCACTATTTAATCTTCTCCTTTTGACTTCCTTTCTCTCTCTATTTGAGTTTAATCGTCGGCTTTTTCTTCTGCCGTTTCGTTTGCTCTTTTTTTATGCATGTAGATTTCGATCAGTGTTTAATCATAGGTTTCTTTCTTCTGATGTTTCATCTTCACTCCGCTGTCTGTAATAGTGTCGACTACTTCGATCCATCCCTATCACGTTATGAGGGCCCGACCATCTCATCTATATATATTTAAAAGAGCATCGTTGCCGGAGCCGTCTAGCTATGTATATTAAAGATAATAATTACGTTTAACTATTCAAAAATATACATCATAGATTATGGCTTCCTGGTATTTTGATGAGGTATGTAACAGTTGTAAAATTAAACCTTTTATAAAAAATAAAATCTGAAATTATTCAAACCGTTGAAATTTTACACTGAAGAAGGCGACACGAATATTGTTTAAATGTCACTTCACAAAATACATCGTGGATATTTCCTCTCTAGTCTTCAGAGCTGAAACACCATCTTAGGAGCCAAAGCAGATGATCCAGGAACCGTTTTTTGGAAACCAGCTGAGTTTTTGAGTCATCCTTAGCCGTTAATATCTAGATACATATGTTCTGATTTTCTATTTTTGGAAAAATGTTCTCCAGGCCCATGAGTGCTATAATGAATGAGTGTTCTACGGCGTCGTGCTAAGTTAGGTCTGCCTGTATTCATTCAGTACATGAAAACTCTTGAGCGGTTTTGACATGCAGAGTCAGGCTTGCTTGAATCAATGCAGGTGAGCTGCTATGATATGGATCCAAGTTGAACGCCAATTTATGATACATAAACCAGTCTATTGTTGCCTCTACTGAATCAATGCTGACAAAATGATGCCCTCCCAGAAGACTGCGGAATCATACTTTTGTAAATATGCATTCCCACTTAGTGGGGCTGAAGGAATATGTACATTTGTTCTCATAATTTATACAGATGCAGGTGCATGATGGAGACCTATTATCTGCTTTTTTGTGACCAATATTCTCCACAACATGGATATTTTATGTAAATTATTAATATCACCAGCTGACTGTATGCCCTGTTTTACAGGAGGATTTGTGTTACAATGAATACTTACGCATACGCCAACATAAACAGGCACATAGCAATATCGTTGAAGGCATTAAAGGTAGACGCAATTTTGTAATTATCCTTACCATTAAAATGTACGACTCCAAAATAGTTAATCACTAATACATCACGACGTGTGCACATTACATTTAAAATGTTTTAAATAGTCATTAACTCTACGTTGCGTCTGCTTTTGAGTTGGATTCGTGTCATGAGAGCAAACGTGTTTTTCCAGCATCCCCTTTACTCTCTTGAAGTCGCGTTTCTTGTGTTTATTCTAGCATTTAACGCATATTTCCTGTCATATTTAATCGTCAACTTCACTCGTTTAATTTGTAGTTTCTAATTCAATATAGTCGTTGCTCCATACTTTGCTATTTTATCTCAGCCATTGCAAGTCATTCGAGTTATCATGCGAAGTGCTTTGCAGTCTCACGAGGTAAGAACTTTTTTTTTCTATAAAAGTTGCATTTGTTTACAGTTCAAGCACACATTTCCATAATAATCCAATATCCTGCACAGTTATTACACACTGACCCAAGACTAACAGTTCACTTGAGTCTACGGAGTGGGCCTCAGAGTGATGTCAACTCCACAGACACTCACAGGGAGACTCCACGCAGGGTAAAGGTCACGGATTCACAGAGTTACCTGCACGTCCTTGCGAGCGGCCTCTATCCGTCCCACGGACGCCTCCGCCTTCTTCCTCTTCTCCTCCACCGCTCGCATCTCCTCTCCGACTCCACTCTGTAAGAGACAAAGTCGCCAGATGAGACTCCACTCCCTGAGCGTCCCCTCTCAGCCCCACTCCACACACAGCCCTCCACAGTGATGGCTCTATAATTGCCACCAGAAGAGTGGTGAGGAAGTCAGCCTGGACTGACTCAAAAAGGCTAAACCACAAGGGACCGTGGAGAGAAAATCAACACACGGTGATATTCGTTGTATGGGATGTTTTTTAATAATCCCAGGTGACAATTTTTATCAGTTCATGTAGATGTATCAGAATAAGTATATGTATTTATATTGGAGGAATCAGATGAGCTATAAAGATATTTTTCACAGATGTCCAGTACGGGTGGGTAAGAACGTTACAACAACAAACTATACAAAAACCAGATAGTAGTGCAGAGTACAAGAAAGGTAAACAAATCACCCAATAACATACACATACAACTAAGCCATCCCCATCCTACCAGGCAAATCCAACCCAGGTTTTAATTTATTTTTTTAGAAGCGACCTGGCCACAAATAATAACTCAACATTGCGGCTTATCATGTGAAAATGTATAGCAGACAAATAATCTCAATGCATGTTTTTTTTCTGCACCTCAGTGGTTCTCACTGTCGGCATGCGGGCCTCACCTTCCGTGTCTGATGCTCGTCCTCCAGCGTGTCAACATCATGTCCTTTATGTTCTCCAGCGATGGCACAAACTGTGCACACGAGGCTCACGTCCTGCTTGCAGTAGAACTTGAGCTCTTCGTTGTGCCTCTTGCACTTGCGTGCTTCAGGATTCACATCTGGTGAAACCAGGACGTGATCGTTAAACTTCTTCTTCTCCAGGTGAGGCGCGAGGTGCTCCGTGCAGAAGGATGTGTCACACTTGAGGCAAGTCTTCACTGCAAGCGTTTCTCCTTCTGGGCAGTTATCACAGAAAACAACACTATCAGCAGCAGCAACAGCAGTGGTCTCAGTCACTAGCAGCTGCTCTATGAGGTTGGCGATCGTCACGTTCCTGGTCAGCTGGGGTCGTCGAGGGAAGGTCTTGCGGCACTGCGGGCAGCAGTAGGAGTCTGTCTCCTTCCAGGCGTCCTCCAGGCAATGGAGGCAGAACGAGTGGCCACAGCTCAGCGTGGAGGGGCAGTCAAACGTGTCCAGGCAGATGGAGCAGGTCAACTCACGGTCCACGTTCTCAGCGGGAGCTGCGCTCGCCATGACCCAAGGATTCACCCAGAGTAGTTTCTCACTGTGCCTCAGAGAATATATTTCAACAAAAATAATTTATGTTTATAATATCGTGAGATGTTGATTACCATTGACGAGGTGTGTTCTGTTCAGGAGACACTGTGTGAGCAGCTCACACAGTGGAGATGAACAAGGAAATGAACTTGACTTGACCCACAGTTAAGTTATAAATACCTCGAGACACGCCCTGGAATGTTCCACACGGCGGCTGGGCTCACCTGTGTAGACGTGGCGTTACAGCACGCACTGTGTTAGCTAAAAATGATTTTTGTGTTTAGTTGTCGTTCCCCTGCACTTCCGATTAGCAAGGTTGGCTATGTACGGTGTGGAAGAAATTCAACATGCACACATAGCTTTGACGGGTCTCAATTGATATATTTGTACAAACAAAACTCAGCAGCAGCAACCCGGGACACAGCGATAATGGTTTGTCCCACAGGCTGATTGACCAGCTAGGGTCAGGCTGTGTGCATTGCACACAGTGGAACCGCACCTTGTACAAACATTCTGATGGTAATGGTTAACTAGTTTTTTCCCATATGTGTCTTTATACATTTTTTCTTGCAAGGCCTGTTTGTTTAAGCTTCACAGTCTGTAATCGTCTTCCCCCTTTATCGACTAATATTTAACTACTGGCTTCATGCATCCTCTGTTCATCTGTCAATTAATTTTTATTCCTACGACACCGTTTAATCCTGAGTGGACGGTGGTTGTATGTATGTTGAACTTCTTTTACACCATACTTAATCAGCAGTGCTAATCGAAGGTGTGTGGGTGAGGGTGTAGGTGGGTGATTGGTTTAGTGTGTGGGTGAGTGGTTGGGTGAGTAGGTGTGTGGGTGAGTGTGTGAATATGTATGGTATACTTATTTCGCAGCGTACGTAGCCATTCGTGCTAATCGAAGGTGCGAGTGAGTGGGTGGTAGTGGTTGAGTGAGTAGGGGGGGGTTATTTGGTGAGAGGGGAGACAGATGGGCAGGAGGATGGCGGGAAGGGTGGGTGAGCAGGCGGTGAGGTAGGGAGGGAGGGTGGCCGGGAAGGCGTGCGGATGAGTGATTGGGTACCTGGGTGGATGGCCTCACCATTACCACAGCGAACAGCCCCTGGCTAAATAAACATCGTGGTTCATGACTTTCACTATCCATTTTCCTATTATGCTTAAAAAATTTCAAGGATTTAAATCTTCTTAACCTAAACAATATATATTCATCACCTATTGTTCATGTTAAGATTTTACATCCTGGAATTGCTGAGTTTGGACGATTTTATAAAACCTATTTTTATTATACCAGGTAAGGCCCACTGATATTTATAGCTCTTTTCAGAAGCGACCTGGCCACAATTTATAGCTTAACGACGTGGTCTTCTTGGTTCTTTCGGTAAAGTCACGTAGAAGGGAAGTAATAAAATAATAAAAATAAAACATAATAAAACAATTCTCACGACGTTTCGGCCACAACGCAAGCAGCCGTCCTCAGGTGAAAAAACCAGGTCCGTCGAGGCGACAGAGTCTGAATGAAACAGCACACGAGCTTGGAGCATATATATAAGCTGGGCGCCTTGACAAAGGAATTTGCATATCAAGAGGAATTTAGCATATTTATGGGAAATGCAGGAATGTGATTAGTTTTACATATGCATGTGCATTATGCAGGATTAACAGCATCAAAGGGAGCTGCAGGTACTGCTGCTGCTGCAGTTGCTGCTGCTGCTGCTGTTTCTGCTGCTACTGCAGTTTCTGCTGCTGCTGCAGTTTCTGGTGCTGCTGCAGTTTCTGCTGCTGCTGCAGTTTCTGCTGCTGCTGCAGTTGCTGCTGCTGCTGCTGCAGTTGCTGCCTTATCCATTTTTAATATAACACATGTATTATTTTACCCACCCTAATGTGTATCACACTGCTATATATTTACTATATAATTACGACACCATACATTACTCTGCACACTGCACCATGCCAGTGAGTGGAACGCGGTCTGAAAGTCACCGTAAACGTGAACCCAGTCAGTTAAGATCCGAAATGGTTTATTACGTCCTTCCAATGATTGCTAAGCCAGAATCCATCTTCTCGGTTAAAATTGTCTCTGTGTTTGTATATGTGGATCGCCTCATGAACGAATCTCTCATGATAGCCAGATGGCTTGCAGAGAACCTCTGTCTTGGAGAAGTCAATGTCATGTGAGCCCACTGAATTGTAACAGTGATCTGCCACGGCTGAGGTGTTTGTCCTACCGTGTTTCAGGTCTGCTTTGTGTTCACGGATGCGGTCCGAGACATGTCGTTTGGTTTCCCCAATGTAACTGCTACCACAGAGGCAACTTAGTTTGTAGACGCCAGGGTACTGTATGTCTGGAACCACATCTTTTACAGACGGTACCAGATCACGGATTTTATGTACTGTGTTGAATCGGACCTGGATCTTGTGTTTAATCAGGATTTTGGAGATCTTTTTTGTGACCCCAGCAATGTAGGGTAAGGTGATGGTCTTGAAAGGCTCCTCAACAGGATCCTTCTTGATGGTTGGAGTGATGGCTTTGCGGATTGTGTAGTCGGAGTAACCATTAGCCTTAAGAGCTTGGCGTACGTGTTTGAGTTCACTGCCAATGTGTTCCTGGTCGGAAATGCATTGGGCTCTATGATATAGAGTCTTGATGAGGGAATTCTTCTGGGATGGATGGTGGTGGGAATCCGGTTTTAGGTAAGCATCCGTATGGGTGGCTTTCCTGTAGACAGAGTGGCTCATTGAACCATCAGGTCTCCTTTTGATTAGGACATCCAAAAAGGGTAGCTTGCCATCTTTTCGACTTCCATGGTGAATCTGATGGCTGGGTGTATGGAATTGATGTGGTCGAGAAATTGGTCTAGAGCAGGCCGGCCATGTGGCCAGATGACAAAAGTGTCATCTACGTACCTCTTCCATAAGGTCGGGCGTAGAGTGGCAGTCTGGATGGCGTCCATCTCAAATTTCTCCATGAAGATGTTGGCTACAACCGGAGATAGGGGGGAGCCCATTGGGGTGCCCTCAGTTTGCTTGTAGAAAGTTCCATTCCAGGTGAAGTATGTATTGGTTAAGCAGTGTCTCACCAGGGGGGGTACCCCAGCATTCAGTCCTTGATGAACCAAGTCTTCAATGATTGCGATGGTGTCAGGTACAGGAACCTTGGTGAATAAGGCAACCACATCAAAACTGACAAGCAGGTCGTCTGGGGACAGGGCAATCCCCTTGATTGTCGATACCAGGTCAGTAGAGTTTAGTACCGCAGAGGTGGTTTTTCCAGTGAAAGGCCGTAGGATTTCAGACAAAAAACAAGCCAGTTTATAGGTGGGGGAGTTGATAGTAGAGACAATGGGACGAAGAGGTGTATCTTCTTTATGTATCTTTGGCAAGCCGTATAATCTTGGTGGCCTGGCTGCAGAAGGTTTCAACGAGAACTGTTTGGTCTGATCAATTAATGCGGTTGAATCAGAAATGATGTTGTTGGTTTTAGTGACGAGGCTGTTGGTGGGGTCTCTTTTTATTTTTGTATAGCTGCCATCGTTGAGTAGTTCTTGAATTTTGTTGTTGTATTCTATTTTGTCCATGATGACAGTGGCATTGCCTTTGTCGGCTGAGAGGATGACAATGTCATCCCTCTTTTTTAATTGAGCTAATTCAAAACGCTCATCTTTGCTGATGTTGCTAGCTGGCATCTTAGCGTTTTTGAGGGTTGCAGAGATTTCAGATCTTGCTACGTCTGCAGCGATGTGACTCAAGCCCTTGAGAGCTACATCTACTCGAGCAATTATATCATTAACTGGTATGTGTCTAGGTGTGACTGCAAAGTTTAGTCCTTTAGCTAAAACGGATTTCAGACCTTCAGAAATAGGACTGTTACTGCGATTAATTACGACTTTGTTAACATCTAGCTTTTCAATGTGTGGGTCCGGTTTCTTGTTTGAGAGGCGGTTGAATTTGGAAATCAAGTTGTCCTTACATTTAGTCGACATAGCGGCAGCTGAAGAGGCAGTCATTTTTTCAACATGTTCCCAATCCGATGTGGACATTGTTACACTCAAAGATAAGTGTGATTTGTAGAGTGTCTTGTCTAACTGATCTAGTTCGGTGCGCGTAAGTCTGATTTTCTCTGAGATAAGAGCTAAGCTAGTTCTAGACAGAATTCGTTTCGCATTAGAAGAAGTTACAGCAGCAGATGTTAGTGTAAATGCGTTTGGTATTACCTTAGAGTCGCGGCATCTCTTCAGAAAGGTGAGAGACTCGATTAGCTGAGCCTTCTTATCACGGAGCTTGTTGAAGGATCTCAAAGTTATGTGGAAACCCTCCCCGTAAAGGCGGTTAAATTTCGATTTAAAGCTTTCGTGACTGCAGGGATTCATCTTCTTGGTTCTTTCGGTAAAGTCACGTAGAAGGGAAGTAATAAAATAATAAAAATAAATCATAATAAAACAATTCTCACGACGTTTCGGCCACAACGCAAGCAGCCGTCCTCAGGTGAAAAAACCAGGTCCGTCGAGGCGACAGAGTCTGAATGAAACAGCACACGAGCTTGGAGCATATATATAAGCTGGGCGCCTTGACAAAGGAATTTGCATATCAAAGGAATTTAGCATATTTATGGGAAATGCAGGAATGTGATTAGTACTGCATATGCATGTGCATTATGCAGGATTAACAGCATCAAAGGGAGCTGCAGGTACTGCTGCTGCAGCAGTTGCTGCTGCTGCTGCAGTTTCTGCTGCTGCTGCAGTTGCTGCTGCTGCTGCAGTTGCTGCTGCTGCTGCAGTTGCTGCTGCTGCTGCACTTGCTGCTGCTGCTGCACTTGCTGCTGCTGCTGCTGCAGTTACTGCCTTATCCATTTTAATATAACACTATGTATTATTCTACCCACCCTAATGTGTATCATACTGCTATATGTTTACTGTACAATTACGACACCATACATTACTCTGCACACTGCACCATGCCAGTGAGTGGAACGCGGTCTGAAAGTCACCGTAAACGTGAACACAATCAGTTAAGATCCGAAATGGTTTATTACGTCCTTCCAATGATTGCTAAGCCAGAATCCATCTTCTCGGTTGAAATTGTCTCTGTGTTTGTATATGTGGATCGCCTCATGAACGAATCTCTCATGATAGCCAGATGG